AAGGAAATACTGTTGAATGATTATGCACGGAGGGGACTGCAATCATTGCAATGAAACAACATACGATAGGATGAGAGTAAAACTGATGTTCTCCCATGTAAACTACCAGTCAATTCACAATAAAAACTTACAAAAAAAAAATTGTTTTAAACTTGAGGTTTGGGTGAAAATTCCGCCAATGTAATACCATATTCTTCCCACTTCCTGTCTGGGCTCTATTTCTTTAATCTGTATCATATATGCATATATACATGTGTGTCTATCTTTATGTCCACATAAACTATAGGGCTCTTGAGGGGTGGCACAAAAGCTGTCACTCAGCTGCTAACAGAAAAGTTGGTGGTTCTATCCCACCAGAAGTGCCTCAGGAGGAAGTCTGGTGATCTGCCTCCAAAGACACCTGTTAGGCATACTTCTCTGACACACATGGAGTCTCTATGAACTGAAATGCACTGGTCAGCAACAGGCTTTTCTAGTCATGGGATTGCTGATAATTAAGACATTTGCCTAGACCTCTTAACAGGGTCTGATAGAGAATAATAAGTAACATAGAGTTCTATCATTAGACCAAAATCCACATACACAGCTTCCCTGAGTAGAAGCAACATATAGCTCAGCCAGCCAAAAAAGTGAATTTAGCCAGGCCTAAAGTAACACTTTCTAAGGGAGTTACAAGGAAATTTTGGCAACTGGCACTAGATAGCAGCACAGTTCCAATAATTTACACCCTCTGAGTCTGCTGAAGCTCTCCTTCCCAAACTGCAGAAAGAAAGAAAAGGCTAGATTACAGTTGTCATAACAGAATTTACTCTTGCTATTAAGTTGACACTTCTCTCGGGAAAAACCATAACTTATTCTTTTAATCACCTTCGTAGTGAATGGCAGTGAAACAGCCGTATTTTTCCCCTTCCAGTCTAGATACTGACGTTTTAAGGTGGAGGGTGGGTCTAGTGTGGGTTCTGGGTGTCGTGAGAAGAGCAAAAAAGGTGTTGAGCAGTACAGATGATATCCTGCTCTAGACCATCTGGGTACCTGGACACAGTTCGGGATTTCTCAGAATCTTCTGAAGACAAGTCTTGGCTTGGGGTAGTCACAAAGATGAAGTGCACTACTTGTCTGCCCTACACTCTCTGGGAGCCCTGGGATAGTAAGGGTAGGGTCCTTGTGCATACTCACTGGCTCTGGGGTGAAGCTTGGACTACTGGAACTAAGGAAAACAGGCAAGTATTGGCTTAAAAACAAGTGTATTTCTTGTAATCATGCAGGGATGGGAGCAAGCTGTTGCTTGCCCATTCAGTGTTGACTAGGTTTCTCTGCCTCTCTTTCCACTGGTACATAGCACATTTGGTCATGGGAACACAGACCACCAACTGTCCACGGGCTGAGCCCCACATGGATCAAGCTCTCCTGGTCACATGGTAGAGGAAAACTACAGTCATACAACTGCAAAGAACTTTGGGAATCAAACCCCCATCTGGTTGGCCAGGGACTGCAAAGGACTTTGGGAATCAAACCCCCATCTGGTTGGCCAGGGGCTGAAAATACAATTCTACTTCAGAAAAAAAGATGGGAGAGTCAGAACAGGACTTTGGAGGGCACTGGCAATTTGTTACTGCCTTTAAAGCACCGTCAGCATGTGGAGGTCATCATAGCCCAATATATTTTGGAAGGGCAATTCAGACTCAAGAGACAGGAATTACGCAGTTCCAGTGGCGAAGGCTTCAAAGTCCCCATTATAGTTTGGATGAAGGCAGGAATGATACTTCGGCTTTTCCTACCTCTTTTTATTTCTGATATTTCACTTGAGACTGACAACTCGGCAGGGATTTAGAAGCAGGCCCCATCTCTTACCTATGGTTTAGACCTAGGGAGACTGAGGTACTGTGGTGAAGCAGTCTAACCAGAGTCATATGGCTATAAGCAGAGTGGTCTGGACTCAAACCCAGGCAGTCTGAATCCAGAAGTCATGCTCTTGATCCCTGTCAAATATTTTAGATCCCATTTCTGCTGGGATAATTATGGAGCTGAGAGCCAAAATGTGTTTTTGGCTAAACAGACATTTTTCATTTTTTTCTTCAGATTCAGTTCTCAAGACTCTTTCCTTCACCCTCCCTCTCATGCCCTAACCAGTGGGAGACTCTTATCTGACAATCTCTGGCCTGTACACTGGCACACCCCACTCCAGCCAGCCAGAGCAGTGTCAGCACAATGGAGCCTAACTCTTTAGCACTCTATTCCACACGGAGATGTCATGCCAGGAAGTGGAAGGGAATGGCCAACTTGAGGCACTACTCTGGGCCTCTCAGGTTGAATGAAATGATAAAGGTATATGGTGGCTGGCAGCTCTGCAGGTAATAATCATTCTCGTCTAAGGAACTGACTCTACACATAACAACAACAACAACAAGGAGAACACTCATCGTATTTGTAGCCATAAACTAGTTTACTGAAGGATTTGTATAGCAATAGAAATCCTAAACATTGTCTCAAATTTTTCATATAGCTTTCATTTTCCTAAAATTTCTAGCCTAGAATTTCCCATAAAGTATGGCCTCTATATTTTTACTACTCTAAATTTGTAAAGGAGGAAGATTGTTATTGTCATGTGAGAATTAAAGATTTACAAGCCAGAAATGTATGCTCTGGGAACCAACTGTTAAATGACGCAGTTGACAGTTTTATCAACTTCACTGCTAAAACCCTAAGATAAAGCAGGGCCCGAGTCGGGGTTATTTGTCCTCAGTATCCACACCCCACACACGGTTAAGGGGCAGTGGGAACATGCTTAGGGAGAGAGGCAGAGGAAGGCCAGTAAGTGTGCAAGTCAGCATGACTTGTTTTTGCGATCTCATCATTTGTGAACCAACAGAAACGGGGTTGGATCTGAAGGAAGAAAGATATTGCAAGACTCACCCATGCTAAGAACCACTAGAGAAGGCAAAGTAAGAACAGCTCCAGGCCCCAAGTTCCTGCCTCAAAGCACAGGTGCCTTAGCTAGGCCAGAAACTAGCCAAGTGCATCAAGTCAAGGGCATTTTCCTGTGCATCCCCCTATGTAGAGGGCTTCATTTACCATGTTGGGGGCGAGCCTCCTGCCATTCAGAACCCACCCAACAAATATAGTAGCAGTCATGCACCATGGTGCTCTTGCACACCTGGTTTAAATGTCTTCTGGGGATATGGAAGCATGAGATGTTACACCAGTTCCTGTGACCTCAGAAAACACCCCGCTGCCACCAGTCTTCACTGCACACCCTTAACTCCTGTGAGAGTAAGGAAGACACTGACCCAGTTCCCTGAACATGTGATGTCATCATGGAAAATACTGTATAAAAAAGAACTACAGGATACAAGTAGATGACATAATGCGACACAGCTCCAGTAGATGCCATCTAACACTTCTCCCTGAAGGCTGTCTACAGGCTTCATCAATAACAAGTCCACCTGGCCCTCTGCTGCCAAGAGTTCTACTAGCAAGCTGTGGAGTGGTTTCTTTCTGTCCCCATGGTGTCACTGTCCAGGAAAGCTCTGACTGCTGTTAGAAAGGGCTTTACTCTACCTAAAAAGGAACAGGTAAGTCAGAAATAATCCAAGTGTGGTTTCTTGTGGAATGATCTTGCAAATGACAGTAAGAAATTCTGTTGCATCTCAGGAGCGCCCATGAGAAGCTGAGCCTTGAGGAAACGAGGGCAAGGAGACGATACTCTGAGGAGTCAGCTTCATTTCTGATACAGAATCACCAAGAAAACAAGAATATGCCGCAGCCTGCGGCTCCGCTAACGAGTCTGGCAGCCAGCTGGATTTCCGCTCGGCTACGCTGGTCTCCCATACCCCCTCATGGGCTATGTCCTGCAGAGCTTCAGGGGGAAGTTCTCTGTGATGAGGTGATCGGCATGAAGAAGCACAACAATGTTGACCTCAAATTCTGAAAAGAAGAGAGAGACGCTTTATGTTCACTTGCACCCAAATACCAACCAATTAGACTAAAACCAAAAATCTGTTGTTTTTTGAGTCACTCTGACTCATAATGACACTGGTGGTGTGATGGTTAGGCGCTTGACTGCTAACCGCAAAGTAGATGGTTTGAACCACCAGCCGGTCTGCTTCCGTAAATCCGTGCTGTTGTATGCCGCTGAAATCACCTCTGACTCATAGTGACCCTACAGGACAGAGAACTGCTCATAGAGTTTCCTAGGCCACAGTCTTGCCTCCTGTGGAGCCACTGACTTATTGTTTGCAGCTGAGTGCTTACCCACTGCATCACCCGGGCTCCTTCCCATAGTGATGACAGCCGAGGAAACCCTATGGGGCAGTTGTACTCTGCCCTATAGAATTACTATTAGTCAATTCAACTACAGGAGCAGAAAGTTCTAGAAAGTAATGGACAATTCTCAGTGCACCTTTGGGTTTCTCAAGCAACATCACCCTACACTGTCAGGAGAACCAGTGAAAAAGACTCTATTGATATCTGACCATCTTTGGTAAACTTTCTCTAAATATGTTTCTATCTTTTCACCTTGGAACAGTAAGTCATCAGACTTCTAAGACTATACTTACCTGGTCCATTGTCTTGGCTATAGAGAATCTTCTAGAATTCTTTCAATTCACTGACACGTTGTGCTTCATTCTTACATTTCTTAATGGAATTTCACAGCTGACACACTGGCTTGCAGCTTGTCTCAAGTGAGAAACGAGGTTCAGAAACAGCCCACAGGGTACTTGGGGCTCCTCTGGATAGCAGTGAATTTATCTGACATACCTGTTTCGACCTGGTCTCTTACCTTTCAACCAACAGGATTTTTTCTTTAGCCACAATGGGAAGCCTCATTGATCACAAGATAAAAGGGTGTGTGTGAACACAGACACCTAGCTCCCTGAGGAAAATTCCTTCTCCAATGTGAAATGGGAGGTGGAGAGAGGCACTGTGTGTGAACTGAGGGGAACACCCAACACCAAGAACTCAGCTTCAGAAAGCCGCCTCATCCAATGCTGCCTGAGCTTAGCTCCTGTCTACAATGTCTTGGATGTAGGCAATGCCTTACCACAAACCTCAGCTGGGACGGGTACCACCCAACAGTGTCTGTCTGGTTGCCTTCCTGCCTCTGATAACTATCACAATACTACATGGCTCCTCTGGGCCCTCCAGCCACCAATTCCTCTACTGTTTCTCCCCCACCTAGTTCTTCCCTGGGAGAGACCAGGGGGATGCCCAGCAGCACAGAGGCCCACATCAGGGGCTGGCCCTCACTGTGCCAGGCACTCCACACTTAAGTTACAGGAGCTCCCTGCTGTTCTCCACGCACCAACAAAGGTGAAGTGTCATAGCACAGAGACCGTTCTCACTGCAGCTTCCAGAGCTCACTCCCACCTCCTCACCTGGAGGCCCGGTGTGCCCCTGGGAACCATGGTCCCTCTCCCTGGCTTTCAGTCAGCCACGCCACCGCTTTTTACAGGCGCAGAAGGGGCAGAATGACGCTTGGGTGGAAGGGCTGTTCTTTCTTCAAACTTCCTTCCGCCACCATTGGGAACAGCAACTCCAAGGTCATGGCCACTCAAATGATTAACTGTCATCTACTTCCTGCATAAGACATCTGTCAATTTACAAGGCCCTACCCAGACTAGGGTCTACATCAAGCAGGAGGACACGGGCATCACTGCCATCTTGGACGATAAAGGACGTATTATTATTGTAGCAGTCACAGGTAATGCACAAATGTTACATGGAGACTTACTATAGAAATTTGTGTTCTGTGCAAAATTCTGGTAAAAATAACATGCAAAGAGACATCAGTGCTTAATTTTTAGCAGGTTGTTGTTAAGTGCTGTCGAATCAATTCAGACTCATAGTGACCCTGTACAGGTTTTCTGAGGAGTGGTTGGTTGAGTTTGAACTGCCAACCTTGTGGTTCAAACTGACTTGCAGTCCAGTGCTTATCCTGCAGTGCCACACAATTTATAGCATAGTAGGAAAAAAATTTTTCTTTTTGTATCTTTTGAAGTATTTGTAGAAAAACCAAGTTGAGAAATTAATAACCAAGATCCTCCTCCAAGGTAATGTGAAGGAAAACCACAACCATCAGAATAGCATGTGTAACAGCACGCTACTGAATATATAAAGTGGTTGCCGAGTGGGGTGGGTCCAGTAGGACACACCGATGCTGGATGTAGAAACTGAGCAGCTGAGCTGAGTGGGCATTCACTCTTTACTCTATGCCTTTTGATATCTTTGGAGTTTATGGGCATACTTAACATGTTCTAACTTTGATTCATGTGTCAGAGTAGAACTGTATTCCCTGGAGTTTCCAGTGGCCACTTTATTAGAAGTAGATTACCAGAACTTTCTTCCAAGTACCTCTGGGTGGATTCCATGGGTAAGAACACTCAAAATGATGAGTGAAAAGATATTAAAATTATCTGGAATCCTTTTTGATTAGAAGCTGAGTGTGTTAAGTGTACCACCTGGGGACTCTGGGCATGTACTAACTATTTAATAATCATGTTGTTGTTAGGTGCCATCGAGTCAGTACCAACTCATAGCGACCCTATGTACAACAGAACGAAACACTGCCCGGTCCTGGGCCAACCTCACAATTGTTGACACACTTGAGCCCATTGATGCTGCCACTTTGCCATTCCATCTCGTTGGGGGTCTTCCTCTTTTTTCTCTGACCTTCCACCTTACCACACATGCTATCCTTCTCTGGCGACTGGTGCCTCCTCACAATATGTCTGAAATATGAGAGATGAAGTTTGGCCATCCTGGCCTCTAAGGAGCACTCTGGCTGCACTTCTTCCAACACAGTTCTATTTGTTCTTTTGGCAGACCATGGTACTTTCAATATTCTCCTTCAACACCATAACTCAAATGTATCAACTCTTCTACGGTGTTCCTTATTCACTGTCCAGCTTTTGCATGCATGTGAGGTTATTGAAAACACCATGGTTTATAGTAAACATGTTTTTGTAAGGAAAGCCATGATACCTTATCTTGGGTCAGGTGTGACTTTTATACATCTTTTGACAAGCCTCACCTTCCTTACATGTGTGTTTGGTGAACAGTCGAGTCTCTTGTTGCCATGTTACAGACATGCTCTCACTACAATTTATTTCACATTCAGGCCTCGGGGAACTCTACAAATGCTGTCTGGTGCTGTGGCCCCACTGGGCGAGCCGCGAGCTAGGATTCATGGTCCACAGCAGACCCACAGGGAGGTCATGGACTGCTTGGTGAACCAGGGGCAGATGCAGCATACCCCCTCTCTCAACCTCTGACAATGAAACTGTATGTAGTTATATTTTAAATTATATTAAACTAGTCAAAGGATAATCATATTGTTATTATAATAACAAATTTTATCACTGGGCTAATTATACACATTTAAGGTTTTAGGGGGAATATGACATTAATAAAAATATATAGCCTTTGGGAATAAGTTCCCCTTTCTCAATACAGGTAAACTAGCAGAAGGGAGGTTCCTAGGTGGTGCAAATAGTTAATGTACTTGATACCCACCAAAAGGTTGGTAAACAAAGTCCACCAGATCTACCTTGGAAGAAAGGTTTGGTAACCTACTGAAAAATCAGTCATTAACAACCGTACATGGAGCATAGTTCTACTCTGACGCACAGGTGGTTGCCATGAGTTAGAATCCATTTGACATCAACTTTTTCAGTAACAGTAGCAACTTTGGAACCCCTGTATCCTATATACTTAACAATGTTCATGAGGCCTGGCTGAGACGGGCACCCCAGAAATGCCTGGGAACACTCCTTCTGTGATCTCTCAATCAGTAAGGAAAATCCTGTGTTCCTGGCATCTTTGCTCCACTTCTTCCTAGTGTGAAGTTTTTCTCAATTAGGCTCACAGACATGATTCCAAGAATCTTTAAAATCATTTCTTGTAGTTTTAAATGGTTTCATTTAGCATGAAATAAATGTTATGGGAAAACAGCAGGATACAAAACTGTATATTCTGATTCAGACTTTGTGGTCATCAATGCATTGCACATACATATAGATGAGAAATGAAGAGAGACACCTAAATTGGAGGGGCCCAGAGCTGTCGTGACATGAACATTCCCAAGGGGATATTCACCTGTTTTAATCTTTGTTCAAATAACCCCTATCAGAGAGGCCTGCCATGTAACCACCCTTCTCTGCTCTGTAGCACCTTAACTCTTGTTCATTGTCTGCAGAGCTCCCACCACCACCAACCTATCCTGCAGAAGCACAGGGTCTTCCTGCCTTCCAGTGAGGCCCACCCAAGTAGGCGCTTGTAGCAGACTGCTCAGTGCTGTACCTTGGCACTGGCACAGTGGCGTCCCAGTGAGCTGGGCTGAGTGACTGAGCTGGCGCTGAGCCCAGCAGACCATGCACGACCTGTCTGTCCCAGCCCAGGGAGGCCTGTCTATAGCCACACCATTCACCAAAAGACTCCCAAGCAGCCTTCGAGGGATGCCAAGTGAAGTCAGCTTACCCACTTTGAAGTTGGTGGTCTCCAGTGTAGGGCAAGTGAACAGCCTGGGGAAAACCATGTGTATGGGCACTGGGAGGCTGCGGCCAACGTCCCCATCGGCAATCTGGATATTCTGAATCTCTGTGGCATCTCGTGCATAGCCTTCTGCACATCCTGGAGGAAGGAGAGGGCAACACGAGCTCAGAGAAAAGTCAACATCAACATGAGCTGAGAATCCACAGCAATACACACACACCCATGTCTCCAGCATGCTCTGGGAAAGTCCCTTCCACATTTCAGGTCCCTTAAACACACATGAGGGGGACTCCCATAGGGAATTAAAAGATAGTGGAGTTTTTCCATGAACTTTTTGAAGCTCCCTCGTATTTACTAGAGACGAGATATGTGCTCTTACTTTTGCTGCCCCCATATTATTTTAAATCACTGAACACACAAGAACCAGAGGACAAGTCTGTACTAGAGCATTCCTCAGCACTGGTCTTCTCCACGTGGATCAACTGAGGCACAGGGAGCCCCCCCCAGTCTCCACACACAGACCAGCTGAAGCAGAGGGAGTTCCCACCCCCAAGGTCTCCATATGGACCAGCTGAGGCACAGGGAGCACCCCCCAGGACTCCACGCGGACCAGCTGAGGCAGAGGGGCCCTACCACACGTCTCCACGCGGACCAGCTGTAGCTCTATGCTCTTGATGGCTGCGTCTGAGTGCTCGATCACCAGCTCTCCCGTCAATGGCTGTGTTATAACACAGTTAGTTGAGTTGAGATGTCCTCTAATAAGAAATTTGGGCAACAAAGCTCTCTACGACAAAAGAAAAACAAAAACATCAGAGATGGAAGGAGCAAGGAAAAATTACTTGATAGCTACTTGGGCACTGCTTTGCAGAGTGAGAAAAAAGGAACACTGCTACTTTACATCTTTTTTCAACTTGGACATTAACAGTGAATTAGTCAAATACTATACATGAGGGGGGTTTCAGAAAGCATATGGAAAAATAGAATGAAAACATAATGGAATTTTTCCATAAACTTTCTGAAGCCACCTGATAGACATACCACCATCCATCTGTCAGTTTGTCTTACTGTGGTTGCTTGTGTATTGTTATGATGCTGGAAATTATGTCACCAGTATTTCAAACACCAGCATGGTGGACAGGTTTCAGTGGAGCTTCCAGTCTAAGAAAGACTAAGAAAAAAGACCTGGCAACCTATGTCCCAAAATTAGGCAACAGAACATTATCTAATACACTGCTGCAAGTTGAGGTCCTAGTTTAGAAGGTCTTTAAAATTCACATTAGCTGCAACAACTGACTTTGTTGTAGCATAGCAGCAGTTGTGAAGCAGGACCGGGTAGCAATTTGTTCTGTTGTGTGCATGCTGGTGCTCACGAATTGGAGCCAACATGACAGTGACTAACAACAAATGACATGTATACATGAAGGCACCTCACTGGTACTACCAGAATGAGCAGCTATCTCACAGAACTATGCTAATTGCCTAGACTCAGCCTGGAAGACTCCTCCTTATCAAATGAGAAGATAAAAAATCACAGGTATAAACCCCCTCCCAAGACTGAAACTCAAAGAGAATACACAAGTAGGCATGTAAGCTTGCTGGCAACCATGCTGGTCTACTGGTGAGTGGAAGAGGGGGAAAGCAGCAATGAAGATATAGGCTGAGTTCAACCACAGTCCATAGACTCCCATTGACCTGGAAATGAGAAAGAGAAGAGGAAGGGCTGGTTGGTCCAAAAGTGTGGGAAGACCTGGGGACTCCTGAGCCCATGGACAAGGACACAGCCATGGAGGGCTAGAGCTGAGAATAAAGAATCCAGCTGATATGAAATGAGGGAGACCCAAACTTGCAGACAGTTTCCATTTGACCTACCCTCGATGGCTGGATGATTAGAACTCAACTACAAGAAGATTAAAAAAAAAAAAAAAATTTTTTTTTTTGATAAAGGAAACAAGTGTAAATTGCTACAAATTTATGAACTTGACCTATACTCAAGAAGTGGTGATGGTTATGTGCCATGGAGTTGGTTTTCACTCACAGTGACCCTATATAGGGTTTCCGAGGCTGTAAATCTTTATGGGAACAGAAAGCATCATCTTTCTTCTGTGGAACAGCTGGTAGTTTCAAATTGCTGACCTTGAAGTTAGTAGTCCAACTTGTAACCACTACGCTACCAGAGCTCCTTAGTTATGGAAATAGTAGCTTAAAGTACCAACTGAGAGGAAAAGAATCTTCACACAAGGATCATTCCCATCCCCTCTGTACACAGGGTTTATAGGGATGAGCAACTCAGACACTGGCTACTTAAAATGGTGGGAGGGGAGGTGTGATAAAGGCACGAAGTGACTGGCTTACAAGTTTTCAAGAGGGAGTTTAGTTTCAGAGTGTTCAGGGGAAGCTAGAATCCCCCCTGAATAGTTTTCATCATGTGTAGATGGGTCTGGTGAAAGAAGATGGGGATAAGAGTCTTATGATTTAATAGATGAAGATCAAAGACCACAGCCTTTGGTATGGATTGTATCTCAATTAAAGAAAACAAAAATCCTCACCACTGGACCAATAGAAAACATTCTTATCAATGGAGAAAAGATTGAAGTTGTCAAGGACTTCATTCTTCTTGGATCAACTGTCAACACTCACAGAAGCATCAGTCAAGAGATCAAACAATGTATTGCATTAAGCAAATCTGCTGCACAAGACCTTTTTAAAGTGTTGAAGAGCAAAGATGTCAGCTTGAGGACTAAGGTGTGCCTGACCCAACGCCATGGTATTTTCAATAACCTCATATGCATGTGAAAGTTGGACAGTAAATGAGGAATCCTGTAGAAGAATTGATGCATTTGAGTTATGGTGTTGGAGGATAAGAAGTGCCATGGGCTACCCATAGAATCAACAGATCTGTGTTGAAAGAAGTGCAGCCAGAGCGCTCCTTGGAGACCAAGACGGCCAAACTTCGTCTCTCATACGTTGTACATATTGTCAGGAGGGGCCAGTCGCTGGAGAAGGATATCATGTTTGGTAAGGTGGAGGGTCAGAAGAAAATAGAGGAAAACCCCCAATGAGATGGACTGGCCAAGTGGCAGCATCAATGGGCTCAAACGTGACAACAATAGTAAGGTTGGCCCAGGATCGGGTAGTGTTTCGTTCTGCTGTGCATAAGGTGGCTATGAGTCGGCACCGATTCGATGGCACCTAACAACAATTGTTATTATGACTAATTGCAATTGTCACAACTGCAAAGGTAGAAGTTTTGTAACATAAAAGGGGGAGTAGGTAATCTCTCATTCCAGAAACAAAGGACGCTAGGACCATTAAGGGAGAAGATCACAAGTGGAATGTGGTACCCCATCCGGAGAGGTGGTGATGCCAGAGATGGAGGCAGAGATGATGACATGGAAAGATAAAGCAGCTGAGGACTCTAGACTCATGGAAGAGAAAGGCTGTGTGCTGGCAGCCAGGAGGCAGGCTTGCAGAATGTGCCCTTTGGTTGTTTAAATTATTATATATTACTGAGGATTTTTGTGTACATCCCTCCCCACCCCCCCAGTCAAAAAAAAAAAAAAAAAAACCCAGAAGGAATAGAAGCAAATACTGTTGAATGATGATGCATGGAGG